TTCAGATTTGGATGGTCCATTCGGATGTAAATCTAGATATGTCGATTATGAGGTGGATGAGTATCGGTCTTTTCCGTAACGCACCCACACCCTCATTATTCATTTCCCAAATAGTTTGGTGTTGTATGGCTTTTAATTGAAGTTAATTTAATTGGTGGTACAATATTTGGTTTTCCAGCTTTGTTTAAAATTTTACCACAATATGAAATTTATGGTGATGAAAATAATTGTTCATTATCATCATTAATGAATAGGACAGAAATAGAAATTCGAGAATTATCTTTCAAAGCACATCAGACAAGACGATATCAAGTATGTAGAGACATAACAGATTATAATCAGATGTTTTTTCATAATGGTTAATTTTAGAATGCATTGACATTACTAATTATTTTATTTGAAATTCCATCAGTAATTATTGGTCTATTGATTGATAGATTTCGATGTCGATTTGTTAAATTAATTGCAATGTATATATTACTTTTCTCTCGTCTGTTATATATTTAATTCTAAAAAAATCTTATGTTTTGTTTTTTTTTAAGAATATTTCATATTATCGAACAGTAAGCATGCGTGCATATAAATATTCTATATTGTAAATGTGATTTTATTTAAGAACGAGATTCATTTTTATATGTTCATACAAGTTTTTCATCTTTGGTTGGTATTATTATCTTATTAACAGCTTATACATCAAGTGATTATTTTTCAAAGTCAAGAGCTTTTGTTTCGACTTTATTTGCTGGAGTATGTACATCAGCTACAATATTGGTATTCAATATTTCAAGTATGTTATCAAACATTGTCTTTTTCGAAAACGAAAAGTTGATTTTATTTTTTAAATTATATTCGTTTCGTTGTTTCTCCTCTAGGTTTTAATTGATGCTAAAAAGATAACATTGCAATAACTTTCTTACATATGGATATCATTTAGTGTATTAATGTTAATTAGTTCATTTATATTTCTTGATTGGAAATTTCCTATTTTAAATTAATCTTATCAATTTGATACAAAATTAGAAAAATATTCATTCAAATATCATTACTAGTAAAATAAATTTAAAAAAACATTTAGATGAAGATCAATCATCAAACAATAGTGAAATAGATAAAATGAAATAGTATATAAGAATTTTGAAATGACAAGGTGTTTGGCATTATTTAACAAGTCCACTGTATTTATTGATGGTATTATTTTTAAGTATTCTATTATTACCAGGAATTTTTCTTGCTGTAACATGATATCGATGAGTATATTATATTACAAAACAAGATACAATATTAAGTAAGTAATTAATATCTTGCTTTATTCCATAATTGTTTTATCTGATGTTCTATTTTTTTTGTCTATTTTAGCTAATAAATATACATTTGCATTCAATTTATCTACTATTTCTGCTATTATTATTTGTTCATTAAATGGTTTTTTCCTTGAATTTAAAGCTGATAAAAGTAACATTCTAATTTTTTTTTGCATATTGATTTTAATTCTTTTTTATTTAGGTAAGAAACAAAAATTATTGAATATATCATTAATGCAAACAATATCATGGCTTATAAATATTGTCACATGTATTATATGTATGTTTGTACAAAAAGGTATGATTATTTCAGCATTGATAATCAATTGTTTTGCATGAGCTCCAATTGTTGGTGGAAGTTAAGCAGTCATATTCTATAATAGTTGTTAAAATTTTATCAGAATAAGGATGGGTATGGAATCTCTTTGATCAAACTCACACCCACACTCTTTTCGCGATGTCTGTTCTTTCCTTGTCTAAATTTCTCTTGGTCGTAATAGAACGATTGGTCACGCACATTTAAATGCTAATTTTTTTGGCACAACTAATAGGAGAGAGAACTACGTGCATACATACATGACCCAAGTGTATGCGATGTAATCGAACGAACAGGGGGAGAGAAAATGCGTCTACTCACTAGAGGAGAAAGTGAAGGAATGGAAAAAAAATATTGATATTCATGTGTCACTCGATGCATTCTCATTTATATGAAAAAAAAAACTGCTCTATGAAACATGCCATGTTATTTTACATTTTATCTCAAATATTACATCTTACACAGTAATATCAAATGATACAATCACTTTAATGACACATCTGCATAATGTGTTTTTTGCAATTGGAGACTCTCATAGACTATATCATATATTCGCTGATTTTTTTGTGTGTATAATTATAAGCGACAAGAAAACGAGTTGATGTAATTATCGAAAATATCGAGAAAACATGGTATGGCACTCGATGATGATCAAAAAGACAATTCAATTATGTTCGATGAAAACATACAAAATATTCGTGTGATCTGGCTTGACAAGACTTTCTCTTACGTGGATACATGTCAAAGAGCAAAGATACGTTTGCACCATTTAACTTCTCTTCTAAAGACGTTCTTCGAAGTCAAAGAATGTTTCGACTATATTCGATATATGGTCGATGATACCCAACATGTCCTTCTCATTCTATCGATCGATTCGTTTGAAAATGTCAATAATGTTATCGAAGAGGCCACTCACTTAATTCAAGTTACTTTCCTGTATTTACTAACTTTTCCAAACAGTAACAGAGAGCTACCCAAGGAAAACATTCGTGCTATTTTTGATAACGAAGATCATCTTTTAACCAAACTCTCAGAGGACATTGGATCGTGTAATAATAAGATTTTAAAATTTAACATATTAACACCGAGTCGATCAACAAAAGATCTCACACGTCAATCAGCGAAATTCATGTGGTACCAATATCTGGTGGAAATCCTTCTCGCTGTTCCCGATGCACAGGAAGCCAAAGATGATCTACTTGAATTTTGCCGTTCCAACTACGCCGACAATTCAATTGAACTGGATAAAATACTTGAATTTGAAAAGATCTATAGTTCAGAAGTTGCTATTAAATGGTACACACGTGACACATTTCTCTTTCGTCTTGTTAATAAAGTCTTGCGTGAAGAGAATATTGACGACATGTACAAGATTCGTCTTATCCTATCCGATATTCATACACAACTTGTTGAATTACATGGAGATTATCTGGAAACATAACTCGATTTGAGTCTCTACCCATATTGTCTTACTGTCTATCGAGGTCAATTGATGTCTGCACGAGAATTAGATCAACTGAAGTGGAATATCGGTTGTTTTATTTCGATGAATAGTTTTCTTTCAACATCAACTGCAAGAGATCTCCCATTAATATTTAATGGACAAGGACAACAACGACCGCAACTGGAATCGATTTTATTTGAAATAACAATTGAAACGAGCACATGTGAAACGGCATTTGCTGATATTCAATATGTCAGTTGGATACCGGGCGAAGAAGAAATTTTAATTACGATCGGTGCCATTTTTCGTATTGACTCAGTAAATCAGATCGACAATATTTGGATTGTGAAATTAACTTTGTGTAATCAGAAGAGTCACGGTATCGAACAGTTAACTGATTATTTTCCTGATATAAAAGATCATCAGCCTGATCTATTTACATTTGCACAATTCCTATTCTACATAGGCGATTATGGAAGAGCGACAACAATTTATCGTCGACTTCTCTCTTCGATTTCACTTACCGATAAGCGAATGTCAGCTCTCTGGAACAATTTAGCTATGTGTCTCAATCATCAAAACTATAAAAACTTACCAGAAATTATGAACTACTTCAACCAAGGTCTCGATCTCGTTCCGACCGAATCATCTTTTTATTCTATGCGTATAAATATGTTAACTCAAGTAGCGAATTGTTTTGTAACGAACGAGAAGCACAACGAAGCCAGGGAAGTCCTAAATCAGATTCGCGCATTGATCAAGCAAGATATACAGGAACGTGGACTACAAGATGAACATATTATACAAATAGCTCGCAATACTATGATTGTTGGAATAGCTTGCAGTGCGGTCGGAGAGCATTCAATGGCATGTGAACATTTTCAGTTTGTTCAAAATATCTATTTTAATAATTTACCTGTTAGGCATGAAAGAATAGGCGATGTTTATTTGTATAAGAGTATCGCGCAATCTGGCATTGAAGGAGATACCATAGAATCATTAGAAACGATGCAACGATCATTGGAACTTCATATAGCTTCTTTGCCTCCAGGTCATCCTTCAATTGCCGACATGTATGACGTTATTGCATGGACTCATTTACGTCATGGTAATGTAGTAGACGCTCAAAAAGCTTTTGAAACATCCATCGAACTTCGATTGAATGCTACATATTTCAATTCAGTACATCTTGGTCATACTTACATCGGTCTTGGAATTCTCTTGGGTGGCGACGAAGGCATGTCATATTTAGACAAAGCACATTGCCTTTTCAAGGAACATTTACCTCAGAACAATTCAAAATTTATTCAACTCTATATGTCCAAAGCAGAAATTCATATAACGAAAAGCGAGATACAACAAGCACAATCTTATTTAGCTGATGCATTGAAAATTGAACAACTGAAACGATCAAGGCCAGGAAAAGGCACAGCTCATATTTTTACACTCTTTGGAATGAGTTATCTACATGAAGACAAGTACGAGATAGCAATTGGCTACTTTGAAAAGTCGATTAATTTGATCAAAGAATTAGGACATCATGCAAGATTGGAACTACTAGTAGCCTACAATTTCTTAAATCTTGCTCGAGTATATCAGGAACAAAATAACTTAGAATTCGCCCTCTCGTACTATCGTCAATCATTGGACATCTATTTTCAAGTTCCTTTGATTGATAAATCACGATTGGCACTACTTCACAATCATATTGCTATTGTACTTTCATTACAAGGGTCATACGAAAAAGCTTTTATACATTTTCAGAATACTCTCGACTATCGATTACAATATCTTTCCTTTGAATCTCATGAGTTATTTACATCTTACATAAATCTTGCGATTGTCTCGAAACATTTACGAGATGATTTACATTTTCTTGAATATTATCAAAAAGCATTAGACATGATCTATCGTACAAATCCCGATGGAACTTTAGAAGCATCTTCAATTCACAATGAGATTGGTAAGTTTTGGGAATGTAAGGGTGAATATACACGTGCTCTTGAATCGTATGAACTAGCCCTAAAAGTAAACAGACAATTTTTAGATGAACATCATCCATCGTTCACGATAAACTATAATACACTCGCTCTTATTTACTCTGAAATATGTGAACATGAAAAGGCTATCAATTACTTTCATACAGCGTTTGTTCTTGATGAACAGAAAGAGTACAAAATGATCCTATTGATAAATATTGGAATGGAATATCTTGAGTTGGAACAATATGAAAAAGCAGAACTTTACTTCGAAGAAGTCCTTTTGCTGTTTAAACGAGATATTTTCCTTCAAGAAGAAGATAGGACAAGCCAATTGCTCTATGCGACTGCTTTCGATTCTCTGGCACGTGTCAAAGGACGACAAAGGCAATATCAAGAGGCAGAAAAACTGTGCCGAATCGCATTCAGTTTACGATTGGACGACTTGTTAGTTAGTGCTATCTCATTCGTTACTTTCGGAAGTCTACTAAGTGACCAGGGTGATTTTGATGGTGCTGTCATTTGTTTTCATAGAGCAGAAATGGCACTCAAAGTGCTTGATGTTTATCATCCGGGTTTGGCTAAAATTTATGCATTTCGAACAGGCTCTGCATATTACAATAAAAAACAACTTGATAAAGCTCTAGCATACTACCAGATGGCCTTGGAATTAACAATCACAGTAGCTCCTGGTAATCTAAAGCAAATTGAACGGATACGATATGGCATTGATAGGATCATGGATCATACTCTTGATGTAAATTAATCGATCCTATCAACATTATTCAAAACATCGCGGAGGGCGTGAGTATGGGTGTGCAGTTTGGACGTGGTTGAAGACTAGATCCACACCCTATTAATTCTTCCTATCGTTTAACATTTAAATATGCTGGATTGTAAAGTGTTGTAAAACATAAAATTTGAACATGATACAAAATTTTTTTATTAGTTTTTCAAATTTATCAAAACAAATATAATCAAGTTTAAGAGAAATATATTTTAAATATTTTAATTTAATAGGAGATAATTTCTATTTCTATATAATCAGATTTAACAAGAGGATTAATTGATAAATGATGAAGCTAAGGAAAACAAGATAATAAATTATTAAACGTAAAACAATCATCTATTATAAAATATTCAATAGGACTATAAGCATATTCAACAAAATGAACAGATAATGGTGTTTCTGGAATTTTTTTTTTCGTCAAAAATTAAACTTTTCCTAATCGAAATCTTCTAAATATTTATTAAGAAATGACACAAAGTTGCACCTGAAGAATAATGTGCACAGGAATTTCTTAAGTGGCCGTATTTTTTTTTTGACTTTGGAAAATACATGATTTTGTAGCTTTTTAAAAAGGCTATCAAATGAGCAATAACCAACCAATTGACGATTTATAATTATATATGGGATTGAAACTCCATCAAAGAGCTGCTAGATTCATAATTTTAGTAGTATTTTGTCTTGTCTGCTTATTCTTAAATTGAATCTACTATGATACGATGAATTATTAGAAAAATGACTACTTTGTTGATAGCTTTCAGGTTTTAAAATTTGATCAAAATCTAATGAAATTTGTACCAAAATGTTAGTTTCAACATGCTTGTCCCATTAATACACGGTTCAATGGGGTTAACCAAGAAAAGTATTAATAGGGCGGTTGACCTTCTTATGCATCCCCTCCTTTCACTAATATCTTTTGTTACTATTTGTTAACCGGCATTTTGTAAAAAAAAACAACACATTTATTTATAAATAACTGTCAGATCGACCATTCATATATTACTTGTTGGACTTAAAAAGAACAAAATAAGAAAAAAATTACGATTTGACTTATGAAAATTTATTTATCTGGTATATAGAATTATTTCAAAACAAAAATTCAATCTTACGCTTGTGATGCAACTCGACTATCTCATTTGATTTTTTTTCCTTTTAATACTCGTGCTGGTACAATAGGTATTGATGGTCGGAAATGAGTTATCCTATTCGAAAGAACGTGAAAAGTTATGTTCAAAACCAAATTTTTAGTTCTTTCTGGAAATCCTTCTAAAAGATATGAAGAGATCTTTGAACCCACCCTCAAGTACTGTTTGGATGTAAGTATTTATGTTCATTTCACCCACCCTATCACTACTTGTCATCAGAAATGTTATAGATGTTGCATAGTCGTAATAACACGTTATGCGAACGTATATGATCAGATGTTCAATTCAAAACTATCTCTTTGGATTCTCCCATTCTATACTTTTTTTTCACTCTTTCAACTTTGTATATTTAACTATAAATACATAGTTTGTATCAGAGACTAATTAAAATTTTAATTAAGTTTTTGTGTGTCTATATGCTAAATTTATCGATTTAGAGGAATTTGAAAACTTCAAAGCGGAGCTACAGTGCACAGTAGAAGTTGAATTTTTTAAAAAGCAATATTTTTTCTTATCAATTGGTGAAGGTAGAAGTTTCTGAATTTGTATAATTAACATTGCTTGGAGGAAGACGTACATGTTATAAAAAGGAGTACAACAAATTGCTATTTTCAGTCGACCTCTATCTCAGTTGGCAGATCTTCACTGTAGTTAGTAATCCTTAAACTTAGTTGGATCAATTCCATAACTTTTGACTCATAAAATCATGATACTTTATTTCTTCACTCCAGCTTTTCAAAATCAATTGTCATGTCAATTAGCGAAACAAATACTGTATAAAACTAGAAAGCTCTATTAGGTTTGTGGACAGAGAAGTAACCATGAAAACAGCTGCACATAGATCTACTTTCAAATTATCCATCTTAAAATAAATTAATAGAAACTAACTTTTTTAAAATAAAATACACAGGATAAAGAGAACATGAACCCTATACTGAAATAAGCTTTATTGGCTCATATTTGAGACTTGATGAATGGATTGCTACTGAATCGAATATAGAGAACGATTTCGGTGCATGCACATGTTTACATTGAAGAGAAAGTAGAAAATCATCAAGAGTATCTCCTTTTTTTTTTCATTGACAGAATGATAAATGAAATTATTCAATGTTTACATGTTCTCTTTTCGAAGGCTACACTATGTCATCAACAAGGTTACATGTTATCATTTTTTCTTCATAGATTTTGCAATCAAATAATTATTAAACAGCACATATTGATATTTGGTGATATAATCAATTGATTTATTTCATTGAAAAAAACTTT